AGTAAAAATCTAAACCAAAACAGGAAATTGATGTTAACCTTTGACCTCATTTTTCACCTGTGAACGAGTGAAAGGTATAGCTAGTGGTAAAATGGATCGGTTTTTGTTGCCCACATTTCCACGGGTTCAGTCAGAAACGAATGAATCTTTGGAAGTGATCTCAGACCCACAAAAACCTACGGATCTGGATGAAGTTAGTCAACCCTCAACCGCCGCAGCAGTCAAGAGTTTTGCCGCTGGAAATGCTAACGCTAATGTTAGCTAACCTTGCAACACTATAGGTGGTTTTCTGTGTGGCTGTATGTGTTTATGATTTCGTGGAAAAGTCAGCGATTGTTCATAAGTTTATGATGTATATTAATGATTGTTTCAGGTGTTGTTGAGGTGTTGTGCATGCATGTGTATCTGCTAGTGTTGTAGGTGTTTTAGAGAATAATAGGTACGCATGGCATGACCACTTCCTTCATAGCACCCTCAATAAAAAGACTAGCTCCTTCATAGCACCTGCAGAAAAAAATTTCTGGAGCCGCCACTGTGTTAAGCTCACCCTGGAGGAGTGGAGACATTGGTTGGTTGGGGCCACTACCCCTTTCCTGGTTTGGACGGATCATAACAACTTTGAGTATCTCAAATCTGCCAACCGTCTTAACCCTCGCCAAGCCAGGTGGCCCTTGTTGTTTAGCCGTTTTACCTTCACACCGTCTTACAGGCCCGGTTCTTAGAACATCAAGCCCGGTGCCCTGTCTAGGTCCATGGAACCACAGTCACCAGTCCCTTGTCCATCTGCAGACAGACCTATTCTCCCCAAAGGTGTCCTGCTGGGCATCTCCAGGCCGGCCCTTGAGAACAAACTCAAGGAGGCAGGACACCACCACCCTGCGCCCCCTCAGTGCTGTTCGTCCCCGACCACCTACGAACGGAGGTACTATCATTTTGTCACAGCTCATGTCTGTTTTGCCATTCAGGTATCATCTGGACCATCACCGTGGTTCAAAGCAGGTTCTGGTGGCCCACACTGACCAAGGATTCGAAAGAGTTTGTCCCGGCCTGCCCTGGCTGTGCCCGAGCTAAGTCGTCTCGACGACCCACGGCGGGCCTCCTCTGACCCTTGGCCATCCCCCATAGACCCTGGTCCCATATAAGTATGGATTTTGTCACAGGCCTTCCCCCCTCCAGCTCATTCAAGGTCATCCTCACCATTGTGGACCGGTTCTCCAAGATGGTCCATCTTGTTCCCCTCCGGAAACTTCCCTCCTCCTCTGAAATGGCGGACATCCTGGCACGCAAAGTTTTTTGCCTCCACGGTTTACCTCAGGACATTGTCTAAGACAGGGGACCCCAGTTTGTGTCCAGATTCTGGCGGACATTCTGCGCCCATCTGGGCATTCAGGTGAGCCTCCCTTCTGGATTTCACCCACAGATGGACGGTCAGATGGAGAGGCACAACCAAGAGGTCGAGACCAAACTACTTCTCTTGTGCCGAGACAATGCCACGACATGGTCTCAGAACCTGCCTTGGGTGGAACAGGCCATGAACTGCCTGCCCATGATGGCCACAGGTGTGTCTCACTTTTTCACTGTCTATGGCTACCAACCTCCTGTTTTCTCCGTTCAAGAGACACTGGCCAGGGTCCCCTCTGCCCATGCTGCCGCCCTCCGCTGTCGCCATGCCTGGTGGTCCGCCAGGCGCTGTCTCCTCCGGGCCTCAGTGGTCTATGTCCGCTCTGCCACCGATGGCGCATTTCTGCTCCCACTTATGGTTGTCCACGGCTGATGTCCCACTCAAGTTGGACTGCAGGAAACTGGCTCCCCGCTTCATCGGTCCCTTCCCAATATCCAAGGTCATCAACCCGGCAATGGTTCGCCTCCGCCTTCCCCGGGCCCTGCGTGTCCACCCCTCCTTCCACGTGTCCAGGGTTAAGCTAGTGCTGTCTTCGCCTCTGGTGGACCTGGATCCTTGACTCTGCCTCTTGCCTGCCCCTTTTTGGAACTTCTCTGATCTCCCCGGCTCTGACCCCCGCTCTCCTCCTGACTAAGCCTCTACTACAGCCCTTCCTTCAGACTGGTAATATTCCTCTGTGTGTTCCATAATAAAAACTTTAAAGTGCCTTACTGTGTCTCGGTTGTCTTCACGGGTCTCTCCAGTTTGGTCATTACACTTTTGGCTGTTTTTAATGTCTAAACAGTTTGGGATGATACTGATACACCCTCATGCCAATTAATTTCAGCTTTGACAGGATGGTAGTAAAAAGAGATAAACAAGTCAAATGTAAATTTTCCCAAATCATGGCTGTTTGATAAAAGTATCACATTTTTAGAGTTTAAAAACGATAAATACTGTTATAATAGAACTCAAAAAAGCTATATGACAAAAACATGCATATAGTAATTGTTTCTAATATAACAAATATTACACATAAACACACGCAGGCTAAAACATTATGGTCCGTCTCACAGCTGTGGAAAATTAAAAAAAATATGACCTTCAAGTATAAAACATTATCAGCCATCTGCTTTGGATTTCAGAGGATTTAAAACAGGTTTTGTAGTTTCACTTCTTCTCTGCACTTTTGTAACATTCATTCAATTAGATTTAAAAAGACATTGTTGCAAGGAGAGCTGATGGCTGAACTTCATGCAAACATTGTACAGGTTTTCTAGTATCCAGGCAACCTTTATAACTTCCTGAAAAGCCCGAGTGTCCCTTTGTGCATGCAATTTTATTATGAGAAAGCCAAGTGGGGGCGGACAGGAAAACAACGATGCAGAGATACAACAGATAACAAACGGGGACAGAGGGGATATGAAATAGATCAAAAAGGATATGGAAAAGAAGGGTGGAGAAAATAGGTGATTTTAGAGGGGAAAGAAAAAAAACTTTTAACAGGAAAAAGTTGAAAAGTAAAGAAGAAAGAATGTGTTTTTTTTACCCAAGAAGGGTAAAAGGAGATTGCAGCTGGTTTTGGATGATGGCCTCTGCTCTTTATCTGCTTTATCTCCTCCGGTTGCTTGCTGCTGGACTCTCTCCCTCCTTTCATCCCTTCTTCCATCTGTCAGACAGACAGCTTTTGGCAGACCTACCCTGTTGTTGTTCACTCCAGCCAGAATCTCTCTGGTCCAGTCCAAGTCTCCATTTCCTCCACTTCTCTCCAAATTTGCTTTTATTTTTCTCTTATTTTCTTTCCTGGACAAACTCAAGATTCTTTGCCGTTTACTCGTGTGTTCAGAAAGTTGAAAGGTCGTTTTAGGGGTTACACTAGAACAACAGTGACATCAGCGTGCAATCAGAATTATTTTGGTCTGTTGCATTTATTTCTGGCGATTTGTCTGAACTGATACACATTACAAGTGTACAATATTTTGGGTTTAGTTTGCAAACTTTTGTTTGGACAATAATTAATACTGAAGCTGTAATGGTCAACTTGTGTCATGATGCACATTCATTTTCTTGATTGTATGTTCAGGTTCAAGGACACAGCATGCAGCCATCTAGTTGATGATGACCTGATCTGCATAAACAGGACCATATATCAACACTGGTGCTAGCCTTTCCATACAGAAATCTACAAAAGTCAAATCAATTCATGAATCCAATCAGGATGTACTAAAACAAATTTGCATGTACATGATTAACTTCCTTTAACTGACAAGGTAAAAGCAATCAAAATAAACATAACAAAATAGCTCTTATTCAAATAACAAACTTGACATTCAAAATGTTTTAAACTGTTTGCTAACCAGCTTTGGCATATAGCAGCTGAACAGCTCACCAGTTCCCAGTTCATAATCACAATTAAATCACGTCTCTCTCCGAAAGCACATCCACAAGCTGCAAAACATGCCAGCAGTTGAGATGGTGACAAGAAAAGAATAAAATAGAAATAATAGACAAATCCAAGACTAATACCTGCAGCAACTGTGAGCTTCTTTGGTCACACATGTTCAACAAACAGTTTGGGTTCCTCGCCCCATTTCCCTAACTTAAATCTCATTGGATTTCCCCACAGTCTCGCGAGAATCCTGAATAATAATGAGAAATCTCAAAATACCATGAGATTTACAATACAACCGAAATTAAACCAGCAGTGAGTTGGGTAAGGTAAGGTAACGGTTGGGGAAACAAACCTATTCAGAGCAGATGGACAAAAGGGGAAAACAGTAAAAATAACCCTGGCTTACAAAACACTATTAATAACATAACACACATAATATTATCTTTAAAAAACACAGCTTATAAAAGTTTTTTTTTTGCCTGAAACACCAGCATGTTTACCTTTTCTGGCATCAAAATAGGACGTTGTGAACCGACTGCTTTGCCACAGTGCTGAAAACCTGCTTCAATGAGCTTGTGGCACAGACACGCGGGCACTTTGGGCTAGTCGCAACATCTGGAAAGAACTGGCAGCATATTTCCACCAGAAAAACTGTATTGTCTCCTTTAATAGCAGGCTCCAAACAGCTCTTGCTCGCTCCCCTGCTGTGCCGACGAGACCTGCATCTTTCCCGGTCACTTTTGATTACGCAAGTGACCTCATCGGTGTTTACCGGCTCTCCTTTATAATTTGCCTCAAACTGCAAATACTCCCAAACTGCAGAAGTTGTGTTCTGTTTTGACATCCCAGTTGGTGCGCGAGCTGCCATTTTTCTCCTCGTCTCTCTCGATGCGTCTCCTTCACACTGTCATGTGATGCAGTCACATTCACAAACTTTATGGAATGTCTCCAAAAGAAAATTCAACCATGCATCCATTTTATTTTTTGTTTGTTTGTTTGTTTGTTTATTTATTTATTATGGTTATTTATTTATTTATTATGGTTATTTATTTATTTATTATGGTTTCCTTAGTGCACTGCTTCTTTTCATGAGTACTGAAACTGACACTGTTGCTATTTTTTAAAAACTGCCTGTATTTGTGTATACGGTATTACTGTAATTCTGCCCAGGCCCATAAATGCCAAACTAAAAGAGTGCCTCCATTCGTATTTCAATCCTCCTCCCAGGTGAGCTGGTCTGATGTTGGTGGCATGGCAGAGGTGAAGCTCAAGCTGAAGCAGGCTGTGGAGTGGCCTCTGAGGCACCCTGAGGCCTTTACCCGCATGGGCATCCAACCACCTAAAGGAGTCCTGCTCTACGGGCCACCAGGCTGCTCCAAGACCCTGATCGCCAAGGCTCTAGCGAATGAAAGTGGCCTCAACTTTCTGGCTGTTAAAGTAAGCTTTCGTCACTGAAGCTATTGTTTCTGTTCAAACCATTGTTTTTAAGGTTTTATATTTCTTTTTGTTTTGTTGTTTTATATCCTGATGATTAAAGAAATATTAGTTTTGGTTGTATTTTTTATGTTTAATTTCATACCTGATTTAGAAAAAATGATATCCATTTTTTTATGTAACTATTCAGGCTGATTTTCTGCTTAATTATTTGTTGTGTTATCCCAGTCTTGTAGCTCAACTTTTTGAAACTAAACATAACTTGATCAGATTGCATTGTTGTTCTCTTTATAATTGCATTTTAGGCAGTCAGTCAATTAAGATGTTAAAAAAGTCCTTCCCCGAGAAACCAATTTTTACTTAATATTTTTGAAAATGATCTGTCTATCTGAGCTAAACATGCAGACTGAACATGAAAATAGTCTCCTGCACCTATCTCCTGCATTAGCTTCTGATAGAAAATGGACTATGAAACTCTAGGATTTGAGAATCATGACATATCTATGTCACACTGTAACGTAACATTCATGAACTCACCCATCTTGACTCACAATGGGGAAGGCTGTTGTTGGTTTAGCTTCCAGGAAACAGCAGATAATGTATCTGCTAGTAGAAGCTAACTGTTAGCATTAGCATCTCCACCACACAGCAGAACTGATTTAGGCTTGTGTTATTTGTGGAGATAAAACATCAGCATTGCAGAGCCAACGGAGTCAGTAGTAGTCATGTTGCTATGTAAGATGTCCAAATATCAGGAAATAAGACTCCTAATCTTGTCATCTGAAGCTACTTTCTCCTTGTTGATTTTCCCATGGCCTCCAGGCGCACCGGAGCTTTTTTCCCCCTAGAGTACTACTTACAAGACATTTATTCCTACTAGAGACCACTGCTAATGTATTGACAATTACATTGTTTCAGTGTTCACATTAAACACGTATACACAGTTTTGTTTAAGTTATGCTTGTAAACTTTCTCACATTCAACAATCTACAGGCCAAACTCGAAAAATTAGAATAGTCTGCAAATGTATATCAGTGTATCTTGATGCCAACTTTAAGCATCATGATACATATTGTAATTTAAACAATCAAGACTTCTCTGTCCACCAATATGCTCATAATACATTTTAATGTATAACTATATCTCCCAATTTAATATAAAATTAAATAGCATTTTACTGAATTATCAAAGGTTTGAGCACCGTGATCATTTTTTTCTTGATGAGCTGAAGAAGCTGGCATTGTAGCTAAGCTTCCTCAGCAGAGAGCGTCCTCTTCTGACCTTTGACCCCATGTTTGTCCTCTCACATTCATCACCCCATCTTCTCTGCAGCCCCCTCACAGTCACCCCCACCTCCTCCCCATCCAAGACTTGTTGACAGACACTGATTGATCACCCTGTTGAATTGTTGATTGGTGCATACTTAGAAAAGACAGGAAGTCAAGACTGAAGAGCTCAGCGGGCGCCATTAAGCAAATGTTATGCATTCCTTTTAGAATTGGGAAAAACTTGTTTTTTTTTTTTTCACCACTAAGTTTCAAGCATTAAAATAGATTAGATTTTATTGATCCCAAATTGGGGAAATTCACTTGTTACAGCAGCACAGACTTAGCTCATTTCATTTAATCTTATTTTATATGCTTCATCCTACATACAATACAGGATTATTTAAAACTGCTTATTTTACAAATTTCAATTGAGAAAAGGAAAACAAATAAAATTCAGCTCCAAACAAGCGACAGGTTTAAATAATTATTTCATCAAAATTTTCATTCAAAAATAAGCTTTAGTAAGGGTTTAATCCAGAGATTCAGATTTTAAAACATACTTCTTACTTCTCAGCTAGTTTTAGAGACTTTAGTGTTTAGAGTTGTGCTGTAATCCTCAGCAGCAAGTTAAAAAGTTATCACAAAGAGAATCTGCTCGGTGAAAAGGGGATAAAAAACATCCTGTCCCTCCTGCTGAAAGCCACTCTCAACCATCTGCAATAACAGTATCAGGTTTTTCCAGTGCAGCGGTTGCTTTGACATAGATACGTTATCCCGATTTAAATGCGGATACTTTAAGGCTCAGCCGGCTTCCTCTGTGTAAAAAAAGGCCTATTATCATCTTGTCAGTTTCAGTTTCCTCCCTTCAGCCATTAAAACATACTCACATCCGCAGATGCATACCTGCGTGCACGCACGCACGCACGCACGCACGCACGCACGCACACACACACACACACACACACACACACACACACACACACACACACACACACAACTTGTTTCTCTACAGTGTCAGTGGTTTTTAAACTCCCCATGTCCAGCCTTTTTGCACTGCCACAGAGTGAGGAGCCTGAGAATAGTGAGTCCACCTCCACACTTGGTGCAGGAGACAAAAGGGCTGGAAGTTAAGTGTTGTCTCCTCAGTCAGCTCAGAGGTGTTGAGAGACCAGATTGCAGTGGAGGAAGTTCTTCTGACTGCATGTTTATCTGGTCTGACTGAGCGAGGAAAGGAGGAAAAACAACGAGGAGATGGTGGAGAAGATCCAAAAGGGTTAATAGCACAAATCACATCAAGACAATTAAAGTTATTTATTTATATTTGGATTTTTACTTTTATTTCTAAACAAAAGGCTGTCTCCCTGATGTTAATGCCAATAAAAACACAGACCCCAGTAGACCACCAGAGGTCTACTGTGTCACAAATCCTCCAAGTCTTGCTTGTTTCATGGTGGAGTCTTTAGAGATCAAACCATTGGTCCAGCTTATTCCACAGTTGCCTGATTAAGTCCAAAACTTACTGTGACTATAGCCGAGGCACAAAGATGGGATGTTCAAACAATAATTGAAATATTATATATATATATACATATATATAGATAGATAGATAGATAGATAGATAGATAGATAGATAGATAGATAGATAGATAGATAGATAGATAGATAGATAGATAGATAGATAGATAGATAGATAGATAGATAGATAGATAGATAGATACACACACACACACACACGTTTATATAGATGAGATGCAGGTTTTGGAAGCTATAGACCTCAAAGTCAATAAATGCATTTTAACCACATTTATAGAATTTCGGATCTTTAGTGGGGGACGGTCCTGTTACTGTCATTTATTTTTCCTAATTTCGACCCAGCAGATTTAAATACTTTTAAGATTATCATTTCTATTAGTACTAAGCTAAATATAAAAGTGAGCTGAATTTCCTTTAAATCAGCCTGTCTTTTATTTATGATCAGGTGGTTTTAATGGTACGTGATCATTTCATCTCTGAATACAGTTCAAACCCATCTATGCTTCAGTGATCGACTCACACGATCCAATAACTCACACTGGAGTAAATAAGGATTTTCATTGGAAAATAGCAGAGAAATGGGCTATAAAGCAATAGGCTCAATCTCTTCTCCAGAGTCTTTCAGCTGCAGAAACTTGCAACTACATAGAAATATGACACATGTTTGACTTTTAAAGACGATCTAAATTCACATTCATCTTGGCTGCCAGCTCTCCGTGTGTTGTCTGGCTGTAGGTTGTGTGAGAGGACAAATCCCCTGTCCTACCTGTAAGATTTTATTTTATGCGGCTGAATTCCAGCTGCATTCTGGAGAAGTCTCAACACTAATAGCCCTGTTGTCCTATCAGTACTTCACTGCTTGCAGACTGGAAAATCTGTTTTTGCCTAGAAACGTGCAGGTGTTGCGTACAAACATCAAACAGTACATAATGTATATCTTAGGTGTGTTCATGCTGTGTTGTGGTTCTAATTCCATGCTGTCGTTCTTTTTAAAACACAGAAACAGTTCTGTTACCTGTTTTGTCGCTACGTTTCGTCTGCAGCCCAGTACTTAATGTACACTGAAACATTTGTCTTGGTGTCCTGCATCACATCCTCACTTTGCAAAAGCACAGTCAGGAGTCTTGATAATGCAGGTTATTATTTCATGATATTTTTGATGATTTCAGTTCATTTCCAGAGATCTTTTGGTTATAAAATTCTTCAGTTTGGATTGATTCTCATTTAAATCCATTTAATAATTTCTTTCAGGGACCAGAATTACTGAGCAAGTATGTTGGGGAGTCAGAAAGAGCTGTTAGAGAGGTAAGAACATGGAGCTACCCTCACCTGACTGATGTTATTACCATTTATAAACCAGGAGTCCCTGTATTTTTAATGTTGGGACGTGTCCTGCTCAGGATGTGTGTAGTTGTGATTTCTGGTATTATTGAGGGCTTCCCCTCTATGTTTGTGCATGTGTACCTTTGGGCCAGAGTGATTCATCAGTTGTTAAATATTTGTCCAGTTGTCGTCACTGCTATTGTTGCTGGCACTGCTTGCAGGTGTTTCGGAAGGCGAGGGCGGTCGCTCCCTCCATCGTCTTCTTTGATGAGATTGACGCTCTCGCCAGTGAACGAGGAAGGTACTGTGTGTTTCATTTTGCAAAAGCTGGGCCTCAAGTTGGACCCAAAAATGTTCGAGTTCTGCCAAAGAATCTCAAAAATGGCTTGATGATTGTGAGTTTCCTCTTTAAAATGTTTTTGAGGATAATTGCTCTCTGTTCCCCTCTGCTGCTTTCCAGTGTTCACTATTTTCAGCACAGTGGTTAGTCATTGTCCAACCATAATAAATTCATAATCATCCCCGCGATCTCTTTAACCGACCACAGTGTCTGTGTCCACAAATCTTACAGTGACTCGCACACGATGGAAGAGGCAAACATCCATGACTGTCTATATGACAGCACTGTCCAAGCTGGCCACTCGCTTCCCGAAAAGTCTTCTCAGACTTACGTGGCTTTTCACTACCAGTGAGCACAGAGCATGGCCTTGTTCGGAAGTGCTTTAGTGGGATGGCACCGGGAACATCTGTGGCTTAAAGGGAAGAGACGGGGGTTGGGGGACAGAGGACACAGACTGGAGGCGCACAAATACTTCATTGTGTTCTGTCACGGCAGATGGGGACGGCCAAATATGCAGCGTGCTTCCTGCTGAACTAGGCGATGAAACTAAACTTTGTAAGATGGAGAACAGACGAGCTTGTGGGTAATTTTAGTAACTTCATAAGTTTGATTTTGTCAAGTAAATTGTATGATGCATCTCAAGCTTTTAAAAGCAAAGTTTTAATGCATCTCTCCTAATGAAATTCCACCTTTGTTTTGTTTTCTAGTTAAAATATTTAGTTTTTCCATAAGAAATTGAATAACACTGTTCTAAGCCCTGTGCCCATCATTGCCACTTTGCATGTGCCATTTTTACAAAACAATGTTGTCAATTTGCCGCAACACCGTGGCACCATTAGGGAACCTTAGGTTTTTTATAAGTGGTCAGACCGTGGCGCAATCGTCTTTCAGACCAGGCAATGACAGCATAAAGGAGGTATGGGGGTGATCTCTGCGCTGCTGCAGACTTCCCTTTATCTTGGACATATCTAGCTTTTCTTTTACAATGTTAATTATGTCCTCTTTTTGAATATTAAACTATTTTAAACGTAACTAGGAACACCTTCATTTCCAAAGCAAAAAGAACCTTGTTAAATATCTTTCTTTTTATTGTGATTTAACTCATTCGCTGCCAGCGTTTCTCACTGTTTTTACTGTTTTTTAAGAGTCACAGAACGTTGCGCGCTAGGATGATGTCGACGCCAAAACAACCAAAACAAAGAGTAGACTCACCTCTTACATCAGGAAGAATCTGCGCGTTTCAAGCTTTATCCATTGTTTCATTATCCGTTGTTGAATTGTGATCGGCAGAAGCTTTGCGTTAGGGTTAGGGTTTTTTTTTTTACAGCAACGGGCCAAAAAGATCTCCTAACACAAGGATTTTCTGCTCCCTTATCACGTGACATGTGATGTATGCAGATGAAGATCGGCTTTAGAGCTGAGATGTTTGTTCTCACGATGCGGGGGCACGTTCTGACGCCCACGCAGTAAAAAAATGCAAATTACGACTTTAGTCGTCATTGGCAGTGAATGAGTTAAGCTGCGATCGTTACGTTTTTTTTAACAAGCCGTTCCTAAAGGTGTCTGTCCTCATCAGTGCCTCTGCAGTCTTCTGATGGTCTGAGCTCCAGCTCTAACAGAGTGACACTCATGGAGCACTGCAGCGCTCCAGTTTGCCGTCTCAGCTGATTTTGTTCAAAAGCAAAACTTACGGCCCATGTTTACTTTCATTTTCAATATAGTTGCCGCCCAGAGCTCTGCAGTAACTCCCCACGTCATCATGACACCTCCCTCTGTTGCGCCAAGGCACAATCGCCATTTATGAGATAGACAATTGCCACACTACTACCAGGCGAGGCGAAATGAATGCCACAAAATTGCCATGCCATCAAGGCGCTTTTATAAGGCACTCCATTGGAGTAATATTATGCTGTTTTGCCAGCACTGTGTGTCTTGTAAACAGGGCTTTAATTTCACTGAGCTGGCTTGAAAGGACCATTATCCAGGTTATTCCAGAAAAAGCTGAGTACCAGAACTGGTATATGTGCTGGGAAAAGGCCCTGTAGGGTTGTTGAATGGGACTTGTGATGAAGCCATTGGTTGTAACTATATAGAAAAAGATATTGACAAATCGGAAGAGTTGCTGAAAGAAGAAAAAACATGTAGCATTCATACCGCTTCAAAATCATTGTTTCTATACAACTACTACAACTCTCTTCTCACGTGTCTGAGCAGAACCTCCCTGAACCGTCTACAGGTGGTTCAGAACGCCTGTGCTCAGTTTCTGACCCAGTCCTCCAAACACAGCCACATCACCCCGCTTCTCCTCCAGCTTCACTGGCTGCTAGTCAACTTCAGGGTTCATTTAAAGATCCTGGTTCTGGTCTATATGGCCTTACATGGACAAGCACCATCTTACATTGGTGATCTTCTTAGTCCCTACACCCCCAGCAGGTCCCTGAGGTCCAGTGATCAAAGCCTACTGGTTGTGCAGCGCACCAGGCTAAAGACCAAAGGTGACAGATCATTTGCTGCTGTGGCCCCCAGACTCTGGACCTCTCTCCCCCTGAGCCTGAGATCAGTGGACTCAGTAGACTCCTTTAAAAAGCAGCTGAAGACTCACCTGTTCAGACTGGTTTTGGTGTGACCTTCATCACCTCCCTCTCCTTATTCTTCTCTTATTCTCGGGATTCATTTTCTCTCTCTTTTTCCTTATGTTTTTTAATCACAATTTATGTTTTTTTGTAATTTTAAACATTTTTTTTCTCATTTTGGTTTTATTCTTTTTATGTTTATAATTTTTTGGCTTTTGTGAAGCGCCTTGTGATTTTTATCTTGAGAGGCGTTATATAATATAAAAGATTGTTTTCTTTTATTCTTTTGCTTTCTATACTTTTAAGTCCTACAAATCCAGTGTAAATCCCCCGCAGCGCTGGGAATTACGCCGCTTTGTGGTCTCTACAGAGCGCCTTAAAGAACAGTGCATTTCTTTTTGGTCATTGAACGCCACTTTTTACATCATAAAGATGCTCTCCCTGACCCATGAATGTATTCACTTACACTGTACTTTGACACAGTAAACCTTTTAACGTTATAAATGTTTGTGGGCGGCTTTTGGCGCTGATCAGTGACATCACTCACTGTCGTAAAAGTCGCGATACACCATAAAAAAAAACTGTCAAGTCTACGGTAAAATACCGGCAGCTGTGGTTGCCAGGAATATACCGTGAAAAAAATATGTAATCTGTAAACAAAAATATGGTATACTGGTTTTGTAATCCTATATTTTAGAGTAGGCAATGTTTTTTTTATCTAAATCATGGTAGGAAAAAAACTGATATATTTGTCAATTATTCAGTAATTTCATATAAAAAATGCAACTTTACATAGCTTTTTACGGATTTTTACAGTTAAAAAAGGTTATATTATATTAATATTTACATTGATTTGTTGTTAATTTATTAGTAATAGGATAAACCTTATTATGGCATATAGCTGTAAAAATAAAAATATGGTAAACCTTATTAAAACCTTTGACAATTAAAAAAAACTGTGAAACTGTATAAGAAATTACAGCATTTTATTTTTACTTAATACATTTTATGGTAAATTCCTGGCAACCACAGCTGCCGGTATTTTACCATACAATTGACAGTACAATGAGAAAATAAAAAATCTTACTTTACATTTAACATTTGCAACCGTTAAATACAGAAAAATTTAAAGATGCTCAAATAAGTTAGTGAAAATTACTGATAAACAATGAGAAAAATTGACATAGCATTAGAAAACAAAATAAACATATTTGTTCTATTCCTACCCACAGCATAGATCTCGAGAATACAACATGTGTTCATATATTATGGCTGGTAATCTGTGGAGGAATAAATAAACATGAAACACAAAATTACCTGCCCCTGACTGATCAACAGTAATGAGTCACTGGGTCCTGCCTTGGTGAAGGAAAGCACTCAGTGGAGTTTCTATTGGCATGGTGTCGAAGCTACAAGCTCTGCAGGAAGACTTCAATGTCGATCAGGAGTTCACTTTGGTCTAGCAGGATCCCCTCTGCAGGAAAAAACGGACAAAATTTCAAAAGTTTGATCAGTGCTTGAGCAAAATGCACAGAAACGAACATGCTCTCAAAAACAGATCTAAAGATAAATTATTTCTGAAGTTTTAACAATACAGTTCTTCAACCTACTTATGTAAAACTGATACATAGACAACGCAGCCCTATTCACAATGGTAATTTCTTGGAAAATACATAAAATTATTCTCGGAATTGAGAGTTTTAGCTTGCAATTTTGTCACATTCTGCAGGCTCCTGCCGTGTGAAACGGCCTTTATTGGAGGCACAGTTTCCTCCATTTCCTCTCATCCCCCTCATGGCCGGGCCCCTCCCAAGCCAGAGCCGGGGGCCCACTGCCCCCCCAGCCCCCCAGTAGCTCCGCCCCTGGAGTGTGTATCCTTTTCCTTCCGCTGTTAGTCCTTCAGGTAAAGTCATAACCAGATGCCAGGAGTTATCAGGTGATCAGCCAGGCTAATGATGAGATGCAGAAAGAAAACAAATCCAGGACAGTGTACAATAATAATCTGTGGTGTTGCTCACCTCATGTGCTCTTATAGAATATTAACGCATGCCTGCCTCATGATGTAGCGCCCATATTTTGCTGAGTGTCCTGCAATAATGCAGGTTATTAGTTAATTTACTTTTGATAGCAAAAAAACAAAATATTTAATGTAAAAATAATTTACGAGGTGAATCAGCTCACACGTCACCAAGTGTCACAGGACAAGAATCAGTCGCCTCCTTCATGATGTCATGATGTAATCTAGCTCCAAGCTTGCAGCAGCAACACACATGTAGCAATAAGCTATGAAACAAAAGCACAGATGATGTTAAAACTCAAAGGTTGTAATGAAGAGTACATGATGATTAAAAACAACTCACCTTTACTTCATGTTAGTCTGGACCATTTGTAGCTGCAACAATCAGTCTGACAGCAGATTTCATGGGTTCATTTAGCCTGAAAAAATAAAATTATATATAACATCACAGTGTTGTGGGAGGCCGCTTCCAGAGATGATGAGAAACATGTGGAAAACAGAGCAAGGATGGAGCTACAGGTTTTTCTGTTAGATCAGGAAGCCCTGAGGTAAAACGGGATGTTAGTGTGAGCTTGGGAAGATACTCCTCTCCAGTGATGACCTGCCAGGCTGAGACGTAAGGAAAAAAACAGAATACAGAGTACACTATTATTACCTGGATCAGTTCATGTAGCTTGTCCTGTCATTCAGATGGAAGCTGCTCAGAAGCTCTCCACCACACCTGGGTCTGTTCAGGAGTGTAGAAGCTGCTCTGGGTGGAATTCCCATCCTGGTCCCAGTGTCAGACAGCTGCTGGGAGGCTATGTGAAATATAAAGAAACTGCAAATATATTTATAGTTGTTTTTAAGAGCAGTAACACACGTCTGTAACAATAAGCTAAAAAATAATTACATGTTAAAACTAGAAGGTAAAGAGAGACAGTTAAAAACCACCTGCAAGGCTCTAGCCTGGACCAGTGCAAGCTGGTGGAGGACTACATCAGTCTGACAGCAGATTTATTGGGCAGATTTAGCCCGAAAATAATAATAACATCACGTTGTTGTGGGAGTTTAGTAACTTAGATCGTGTACAACACAAATTGTCTAATATATGTGCTTCATATTCCTGGCACTTGCAGAGTACAGACGCTTTTCTTTTTGCTCCCTTATCTTTTTTCCCAAGGCTCTTTGTCCTGTCTGCCCACAGAGCGCTTCTCTGCATTTCTTCTGAAAAACCCTATTTTTAACTATGGATCTGATAAATTGGTCATTCAACGCGATTGATAAGATTTTTTCAACAATGAGAGCGGAGCTCCCACATGCCCGCAGTGGACACACCCGGTGGGGTATATGCTGGATTCCTGGAAGGAGTGGAAGATCGTATGCCTCTCCCAGCTGTCCATTGGGGACGTCGAAGACGTGTGGATATTTGGCCTGATGATCATTGGATTTCTTCTGATTGGAGTGGGAGGATATCTGGTTTTCTGGAAATTTGGGAAGACGGGAGCGATTAGAGGGTGACCCGCACCCACGGAAAGCACCTTCCGTGTGGAGACTTCACAGACTGGGACGCTACTTGAGGTTAATCGTAAGCTGGACAATGTTCTAGCTGCGATACCGGTAGTAGTGCGCAAAATGGATGTCATCTCGGAGAGGGTCACCGGACGTTATGGACAAGTTTAAAAACCTAAATTGGCTTCACTGAAGGACTGGAATGATCAGTAAAGACTGAAGGCAGAGAGGAAAATTATCTCAGCCTGACCCAAACAAAATCTTGTTATCCGAATCTGACGCCAGAGCAGCCTAGAAATGCTAGCAAAATAACCCCGACGAAGGAATGCAGACAGATGCTGTGAAGCCCCCCCCCCCGCCTTTGGATTGGTGGACTTCAGCCTGGCGAGGTTATCAACCTGCAGGAGTCAATGTGCTCTGCGCTTCTCCCGAGATCTCCCTCCCACCTGTGGCTACAGTGGCTGAGCGCTGTACATGGCTGTTCTTGCGGGGGAAACAGGAATTCCAATGTGCACAACCCCAAAAGATGTAGTTTTACTTGAATGATACCATAAAATTAAAGGTTTTCAGACATTTTCAACGTTACAAATTTTTCAACAAATACAAAATACAATAAAAAATAGCAAAATGTTTGTATTTTTATTTATTTTCACAGAAAATAATTATAATTTCAACATTTTATTACAGTAAAAAACAGTTTTATCCAGTCTCACAATTAACGGTTATTGAATCTATGTAATACGGTAAAATGAAGTATTTGGTTGTACGCTCCATTACCGTTGGAATTTTATGGTTTTTTACTGTATATTTTACTGACTTTGTTTTTTACAGTGTATGCTGACGTCTAGACAAGGCTGATTTTCTATTTAACAACTGAGAGGACTGAGGCGTCGTGTTTTCCCTGACACCTTCCCTCGTCCCTAAATTTTCCAGAACTCCTTTAGTGGAAACATTGCCATTTTCCATATTTATGTTTCATATGTGGGATAATGACAAAACTGAATAAATTAGAACATTCAAACAAAATTTCTTACATGTAGAGAATCTTAATTATGTCTGTTGTCTCATATTTCTTGCACACTCTGACTACGAATAGTCTTTTGAACCAATAAAAAATTTGTGAACCCTCACTAATATTTCTGTCCTTAATGCCGTTCACATTTTGCCTCCATCAGTCTCAGCCAAGACCCCTGAGTAAATTATAAATACATGTATTTATTTAATTAGTTAAATGTCATTTTCTTCACCACAACTGCAACGGTTCATAAGCTGCAAAGCTTTTTTTACTTCACAGAACATATTTCTTAAAGAATGCCAGTTTTTTGTATGATTTATTGTTTTCTTGGCTTATTTCCAGTCTGCACTCTTTAATTTTTTTTCAGGTTGTTTCTTTATAACTTCTTTAACGGCTGAGCTTTCGTTTGCTTATCTTGATTTTCATTTTTGCAAATGTGCAGTGTATAGGAGCCAACTCTTCAGTTTGCCAGCTTTCTGTGATGTAGCCGGCGGGCTGGACCTGTGCCTTAAGGCCACTCGCCATTTAATAAATGCACTTATTACTGAGCAACAGGAGAAGTTTATTGGCCTTTACTTCGTGACATGTTTAATCAATAAAGTGGCTCACGCACGCCGGCAAGAATTCAAAACCGTTGATGCAACCAGACAGCGTCTGCTGCACAGTCTTTGTGTGTGTGTGTGTGTGTGTGTGTGTGTGTGTGTGTGTGTGTGTGTGTGTGTGTGTGTGTGTG